TTTAGTAATAAATTAAATATTTAACAATGTCACCCATTTTAAAAAGACGGCACGTAACTCATAATAAAAAGAACGTTAAAAATCTTTTTTTTTTAAAAAAGAGAGAGAGAGAGAGAACCCAATACTGTTAAATAGGAAAAAAGTGCACAAAGTCAATTTTTATACATTGCATCTAGAGAAAGTACATCTTAAAATACATAAATCACCATGACAGAAGAGCAGAGACCAATTCCTGCCTTAGGATAGAGTGGAGAGCCCGGAAGTGGGCATCCGTAATGGGCCTCTCCCTTTTGTTCGTGCCATTTTCTGTCCTCGTTCTCCTTTCTACACCCAGCCCCCTTTTTGGCCAACCTCAAACATGTGTTCCACCCCCAAAACAAGAGAGAAAGACAACCAGGCCGACCACAGCCCAGTTTCATACACCGTAGACATTTTCATTTCTGGAGGATCTCAAACTGGTTTCCGCCATTTCCCCGTACGTGGGCGCAATCACTCCCAAAGAGAGTTTGCCAGACGAACAGAGCTAAGACCAGAATTGGACTCGGTGAAATATCACGGCTGCTGGTCCCCGGGACCTGCCTCCTCCAAGAACCTTGGGAATTGCAACTGGATGAGATTGAGCGAGAAGGGACGTCTGGTCATGTAGAAGTTTCAAACGAGGATCGCCGCAAGATTGGAAGAATCGGTTTTGGACAGGTAGTAGAAAATGAAATGATTGAGGAAAAACAAGAACATTATTAGTAGGAATAGACGTCCTTGTAAACTGATGGGCAACTTAGTCCCCCTCTTGGTTGGTTGGTTGGCTTAAAATACCAAGGACATCTCTCCTCATTGGTCATCTCTGTGATCCTTTCATAACACCATGCAATAGCTGTTCATCCCGAGGCATTATTACATTTGCTTGGAAGCATAGAGGAAATGCTGCTTTTCACCCAGAACGGTACCTCTGGTTAAAAAAAATCCCTCGTCTTCCTTCCAATTTCCTGAGCAGAGGACACACCGGTCGTTGAGAAATGGTAAATTCCCCTTCCTCTGGAAAAGAAAGGCATCTCAACATTTGGATTAATTTAGTTTGGCGTGGTGGTCTTGGCTGTCATCATTCGCAGCCCCATCCATTTCCATTTCCTGCTTAAAAGCACTTCGCAGATGTAATGATTTCCAGTTTGCTCGAACCGTGGGCTCCGCAGTACATCTCACCATCCCAAAAATTCACGTTGTCAATTTCAGCGTTTTTTTTTTGTTTCTAAAAGTGGGCCTAAGTCCCCCGTGAGACTTTTTTGGGGGGAGGGGGATCTCCAAAGGCATTGGGACAGCCTAATCCAGGAGATGAGAAATATAACTCCTTTTTAAAAAATTGCACCTAAGGGTGATTGGGTAAATGCGTCTGAATATTTCCACTTGGTTCTACTATTTCAGCTGGAAGGAAGCGGAATCTAACCTTGTAGATAGACCAGAAGATCTCAAATGACTTGGAATCGGGGAATAAGAAGAACCGAGAGAGGGAAAATAAATAGCAGGAGATGGGAGAAACCCATGAATTCATGAGCAACGTATCAAATGCGGCAAAAAGCATGAAGAGACGCTTGGATGGAAGACTGGATGAACACGTGCTTGTAAAGAATTGTTTTCTATTTTATCAAACAATTGATTAAAATGTTGATGAGGCTCAAAAGAAAAATCCACTCCAAAAAAAAACACCCACTGGAAAAAGCACAGTTATTATTAGAAGCGGTGAACTTCCTTGCATACTCTTAAGCCATCCGTTCACAACCAGACTTTACAGGGTGATTGTGATGATGATTTCGGGGTGGGGGGTGGGGCCATCTCCTACCACTCCCTGAGCAGAAAAAAATGGAATGCAAATGGCATCTGGCTTCCTGCTTTTACAAAAATATATCAAGGGTTAAGTTGTACATCAAGGTGAAGGCATTGGGGCTGGACACCATGCGCGTATGGCTATTCTAATATGCCAGCTACTCTACATTTTACTCTGATTATCTGGAGAAGGGGGTGCGGATGAGAATTGGAAGCCCAGGTCAAGGGGTGGGAGAGGATTGTAGGAGTGAGATGCGATGTAGCCATAACAACATTCTTTCTAGAAAGCCAAGGTCATCCTTTGTCTTTGCACCTCTGCACCTGACCGCAATTGGATGGGTGAAAGCTGCCAGCATGGCAGTGGGAGATTGGACCATGGGATGGACTGGTGGGTGTGGGGGGCAAGATCATCAACTTTCAACTGGGTGGGGGAAACCGAGCTGCTTTCAGATTCGGGTTTTCCCAGATATGCCAACATGGCTCTCTTAATAAATTGGAACTTTGAGCAATACTTTGCCTCGGACTCTGATTTACTTTTGGATCCTATTTGGAGCCCTGACATTAACCCTAACCTGACACCCTTGTTCTAACACCACCACCAGATTCCAGCTGGAAATCTGTAGGGAGACTTAATCCTTATTCAAAGCCATGGCTGACTTCACCCATTGATGCAAGACTCTTTAAATCATAGACTGCGGTTCCCAACGCAGAATCCCCCAATTGCAAGAATCAAATCCACCTGCCTCTACGGCTTAGCGCAAGATTGAAAAGGAGAATTGCGATGATTTGACGCCGCAGAACGAGGTGGAGAACTGCCTTGGACATCCCAAACCGTCGTCGCGGGTTTCCATTACTCTGGAAAAAACATCTCTTTTCCCATCTTTCTTCCTTCCTCCCTTCCCAAGTATCCCTGAACCCAGTGGCTGCTTTGGAGTTTACATCCAACCTTCAAGAGAAAAAGTCTACTTTCTAACTCTTAAAAGTAAAAATCTGCCTTCTGAACAAAGACCACCTAAAAACCCAGAGTGGGTTTCCGAGAATAACTTGTTTCCTGTTCTACCCTCCCTCCCACAAAAACCCGCCCCGCCCTTTAATAAAATAAATAGTGCCCGCCCACCATCAATAACCTGAATTCTGTGTGCCCTCTGCAATCATGCATTGGTGAGAAGGGGAATCACAGCTTTGGTTAAGAGTGCACATGCAAAAATGGGGGGAAAAAAGGGTGGGGACTAGTTCTGAATTTCCCCATTTCCCAAGAGATTTGATCAAGGGAATTCAGTTCCTTAGGGATATCAACAACAACAACAAAAAAACCTGCCCCCCTCCCCAGGTTTGAACTAGCTCTCTAGAAGAAGTGAAAAGAACAAGACCTTACGGTGCTCCCTGGCTGTGGCTGTGTTTTCTTTTTTTAAAAAAAAAAGGGGGGAGGAAGAAAGAAAGAAGAAAAAAAGGAAAGGGGGGGGATGGGGAAACCCATCGCCGGCGACGAGTGCATTCTTCCAAGCCTCACCACTTTTGGAAGTCAAGAAGGGTGAAGGCAGGCGCAAAAAGCTGAAGGACAAAGACAGAGGAATTCTTTTGAGAATAGGTGGCCGTATTTGTCCCCTTGGCTGGGAGTCGGTGTCCCACGCTCCGAATGTGCAGCACAAAAGACCACTTTGCAAAAGAGAGAGAGGTCTGTATTCCATCCTCCGTGTTTACTAATGATGGCGGGTTTTTCCTCCCAATACAGAAAGGAAATTCAAGGGCAGAGAAAGCCAGCCTATGGGGGGAAGAAAGAGATGTTCCGGACACGCTAATTTTCTATGCGCAGGGATTTTTCTCGATTCTTTGTGTAGTTTGATGGTAGGAGAGTCATCGGAAAGGAGCTGATTGCCTCTAGCAGAAATAGTCCAAAATTGCCCTTCAGCTCCCTGATGGGTTTATTCCTTTCTCTGCCTTCCGTTGGTGTGAATTGCTCCGAGGATTAGACCAAGAGGCATCTCACAAAAGCCCAGATCGTGTGTCTCACCTCACACACCCATTCTGAATTTTCCAAGAGGAGGCGGAATACTCCGTCTGGGTCACTGGCTTCACTGGTGCCAGCCAACTGGCCGACCTTTCCTGCAAAGATGCAGGATTCTGTCGTCCCCCTCGGGACAAAGGCAAGCATGTACTGCATGCGCCAAGTTTCCTTCTCACCAACCTACCCTGAATTAACATCTGTCTTCACCCTACATGGATTGCGTCCTCACCTTGGAAGCGGCTGAGTTATGGCTTGAAACCAGCTAAGCTAACCTCCTGGTTGATTTCCATCCGTCATCACCAGAGGAAGTGTTTGGCTTGCAGGAACCTGAGCGCCTGGGAGGGAGGGAGGGAGGTCCCCCTCACCCCGCACCCCCCAATGCCTCTTGATCCATGAACTGCAGCATGTGCTGAGAAGACACCAAACTGGCAGCCCAGCTGAACTTCACCCGTGCCTGCTCCACGCTCAAAACGGGGCTATCTCATTCCCGGCCGTGCGTGTACGCTTGGGTGTCTCGTACGTCCGTTTTCCCTCCAATCGATCTGGGATTCCTACCGCAAGCCGATGGCCGTCGGCATTGCCAAGAGTGTGTGCACAAGACAAAGAAGAGAGACAGATGCAGGGAGAGAGAGAGATTAAGAATAAGCCTCCATCCGGTTCGGTTTGGGATCCCTTTCCAAATGTAGCTTCCCGCCTCCTAAGCACGTTTCACCTCCTGCTTTTAAGGCCCGGAGAGACCATTTACACAGTCAATTGCCTTTTTGGGGGGCTGTGGGGAGGGGGTGGGAAACCGAAGGGCAGATTTAAGCTCAGATGCACCCATTCCACCTGAACCAAATGCAAAGAAAAAAAATCTGATCCCAGTTGGTTTGTAAGGGTCCTCTCTCGCTCTCCTCCTCCTCTCGCTGTGCAGCTTTCAGCCCCATCCATCCACTCTTCGGTCAGCAAATCCCCCCTTATCCCAAAACACACATCTAGAGTTTGTTTAGTTTCCTTTTTTTTTTGTTTTGTTTTGTTTTTCCTTGGGCTCAGTTCAGCTTCCTTAAATTTTGACCCGAACGAGGAGGTGGGCAGCAGGATTGCCGAAGTTCTCACTAACACTCATCTATGTTAAGGCTGATGAACTCCTGTATACATTTTCGGTACTGAAGCTCTGTAGGGCTATTGTTGGTATATTGACCTGGATGCCCAAAGGGACCCTCGGCTTCACGCATCTCTTCGTTCATCCGAGCCAGACGCAGCCTGTAGGATGAGAAGCAGAGAGGGATTTTGAGTTAGCCAAAGGAGGGGAGAAAACAGGGCTTGGATCAAACAGGGATCGTACTGGCATTCGGGAGTTAAACCCTTCGGCACTAAGGAAGCAGCACGGTTGCTGAATAGCAATAGCACTTAAGACTTATATACTGCTTTACAGTGCTTTACAGCCCTCTCTAAGCAGTCTACGGAGTCAGCATCACTTGCCCCCCGCAATCTGGGTCCTCATTTGACCCACCTCGGAAGGACGGAAGGCTGAGTCAACCTTGAGCCCGCTGAGATTCGAACTGCCAAATTGCAAGCAGCCGGCAGTCAGCAGAAGCAGCCTGCAGTACTGCACTCTAACCACTGCACCACCTGGGTCAGTGAAGATAGTGGTCTGTCAGAGCTAAGCCACAATTCTCTCTTTGTGGCAGGGACGTAACTGGCCCAATCTATTCCTGGGGTGTTGAGTTTCCAGATCAGCCCTTTCCAGCTCCGACATGCATTTCATCTCCGACGCAGGAAGGACACACTTACAAGGTCACGATGTCCGCGTTCGCGGCCTGGACAGCGATGCTGAGGGGGTCCTGCCCGTCCTCGTCCACTGCGTGCTGGTTGGCTCCTCTCTTTAGGAATAAGCAGACCTGGCTGCCAAATGTTGAAAGAAAAGAGGAAGAAAAAAATGGAGAGAGGAAGTGTAGGTCAGCCAAGAATACGCTGTGATGGAGAAGGAGAGTTTGAAGAGATGGGTGACACCAAGCTTAAGAAGCATGAATGTGTCACACCAGACTTTGATTATACTACTTTACACTGGATCAGTTCCTCTGTTTAGACTTCCCACCTGCAAATGACGACTACCTGGGTCAGATAACATCAGGTGTTGCTCTTCTAAGTCACCATTCATCGTGCACCTATGGCCTTACTCCTAAGACGACCCCAGTTCTTTAGCTGTTCCCTTCATCTGGCAACTGTGCATGCGCACAGTGGGAACAGGCTCCAGCTGTTTGTCTGCCTCACTAATGTCTGACTCTGAAGGCAGCTGATAACTGGCATACGGCCGTGGCCCCTTCTTTGCCTCCGACGCAGAGCCCTCGTCCGAGCCTTCCCCAGACTCCAGGTCTGGCCCATCTTCCTCCCCAACCTCCTCACTGTCCGAATCTGCTGCCAGCTCTGCTGGCGGGCCACAACACCACCTCTTTTTTTTGGTAGCTGAAGGCACAGCGGGCGACTTACCCAGTGTGGCCCAAATATGTGGCGTGATGCAGAGGTGCCCTCCCCCGGATATCTCTTTGGTTAACGTCTGCCCCATTCTGGAGCAAAAATTCACAAGCTATTAGTGAGCCCTGAAAGAAGCAGAGAAAAGAAAAGTTAGTTTTGGAGTCTTGGACTTCTCTTACATTATACAGGCAGTCCTCGACTTAACGACTGTTCGCTTAGTGACCATTACACAACACTGAAATAAGTGACTTGGGACCGTCCTTCTCACTCACGGCCGTCGCAGCACGGATTATAGGAGTTAGATGTTATGTAGCCATAACAACATTCTTTCTAGAAAGCCAAGGTCATCCTTTGTCTCTGCACCTGACCGGAACTGGATAGGTGGAACTGCCAGCATGGCAGTGGGAGATTGGACCGTGGGATGGACTGGTGGATGTGGGGGCAAGATCTTGAACTTTCAACTGGGTGGGGGAAACCGGGAAGCTTTCAGATTTGGGTTATCCCAGATGTGCCAACATGGCTCTCTTCATCAATTGGAACTTTGAGGAATCCTTTGCCTTAGACTCTGATTTAATTTTGGATGCTGTTTGGAACCCTGACATTC